CCTTGAACAAGAATCACGAATGGCAGCTTCACTCTGTCGAAATGAGGATGCTGAGATGGGCCTGCAGCTGGACGCGGCAGAACAAGTTAGAAACGAGGACGTCAGAGCGGTCATGCAGACTGTCCCTGTCCAGCTAAAGGTATAGCCCCGAAAAAAAAAGGTGGAGAAGGATCTAGGTGAGGTCACGGCCACGATGGAAGGTTGGTGCCCCGGACAGAGCAAAGTAGCGACTGACAAAAACAGCGAACCCTGCGACTGCGCGGGGACTAACGCTAGGGAGAAGAAGAAGAAAAAGGAGGGAGTACCCCCTATACTATAGGCATTACATTAAATTCATTCTCTGATCTTGGGCCTTGTCAATGTTTCAGAGACTCTAAAGCTTTTCCACAACACAGTGAGTCAGCTCAATGTTTCTTACCATACGGTCAATTGTTTTGTTGGACTTCAAGCTTTTTTACATTAATTTGAAATTTCCTTCGAATTCAGTCATACTCGAAATTTTGTAGTGGAATTTCATTCTTAGCTCTTTCGTCCATTCAACATCAATATAGTTCAGATAAGAAGGCTTCAAGGACGTAGTCAATTCAAACTGAATAGATTCTTTAGAAAAATGTTACAGTCGAAAAGGATTCCACCGAAGATTTTGAGCGCTACTGCATATACACCATGTACTGTTTTTGTGCGCTCATAAATCTGTTTTTCAACCAGCCGATCGAGAATGTATTTAGACAGAGTCCTCAAAAAATAGAAAGAATAATAGTCCAGGCTCCCGAAGAGACGTTGCGGGAGCGATTCCGTAACGGGTTCTCCCTTAGAGTTTCCGGCAACATGATTGAAGAAGATCCCCAACCACGTTCCTTGATCAAAGCTTGCCTACTGTAATCGCATAAAAAAGTAAGCTCAATGCAGGTTTAGACACGATTTGCTAATGGCTACGCACTGCATTTGTAGAGCAGTCGCCCGACGATTTCGTAGCGAACAGGTGTGATATTTGTGTTGGCAATAGCAAATATTCGTAAGGGCAAACATGCAGCCAAATCTGAAATTCTGGCCAGATTTCGAACAGACTGGGTGTCATTCAATAATCAAGCCTGATGGAATTCTAGTCTCGAGATAAATCAGCTTTTCGCTATGCTTCTATTAGGTGTTTCAGAAAGTTCTGTCGTTTTCTGACATTCCACTTTTGGATGCTTTTATTTCCCTTGAAAATTAGGAAAAGCCCTGCAATTGATGTTGATGTCATTTTTGAAGAACTTTTCCAGCTCTATCCATGTTCAGCACAACTTTATCCTAAAATATTTTCTTATAGCTTTTTCAAAGCTTTGAATTCAGTATCTCGAGGAAGCAAGCTTGGCATGACTTTCTTTTCTTAGCTTTAAATAGACCTGAAAGTGGCGGGATCAGTTGAAGATATCAACGATGCTTTGGGCCTAGATTTGCAATAAATGTGCTCAGAAGCAGTAGTTAAAAAATTTATTGTAAGGAAGGCGAGAGCTTGAATATGATGAGAGTAGTGGTGGACATCGGACGTGTCTCCGATTACAAAAGTTCGGGATTGAAGCACTTGGCGTAAGACATAGAGGAGGTTCTGCCAACGTGAGGTATATGGTTTGTACAGCAAGCTATACGGAAGAAGCTGGAAAGTCTAAAAAATTCGATATGGCGGTGCCGCCCGACAAAATCACCAATTTGAAGCATCGTCCATCAAATTGTCGCTGGTTTATGTGTGTGAAGCGACTCGTTTCTCTACAGATTTGCGACGTACAATAAAGAGCGGATTTTTCTTTTATATTCTACGAAAGTTTGCTGATAGATCGACGGCGATGAAGTCTACAAACTTTGCAGATTTAAACTGTGGCTGGAGGAGGGTTGGCTAGCTTTCATGGGCCAGCGGCTGGCCATGTCTTCAGTATCAGATGGAACTGTTACAGTGGAGAATCAATCTTTATACCAATTCAAAAATCATCAAAAACTCTAGTACTAGGAAGTCCAGGCATTCCTCATATAAAGGAACACGCCATCCCTGAAAGGTTTCTTGAACGCAACATCGCGCGGCAACCTTCACCAAGTTTGTACCAGCTGAACTTCAGAGTGGTTCTGCGAATATCTTACTTAGTAGGCCCTGTGAACTATCTACTGTCAACTTCTGACGATCTTCGATAGCTTCCTTGAAGAGAAATACATCAAAAACCAACATGATGCTAAAACGACCTTCCCTCAGTTCATCCCCTCCACAATAAACGCTACCCTGTTGAACGGTTTCTTATAGAACAAGATTCGCGCTTTCAAATGTATTTTAATCAACTCGAAAGGTTTAGCCCAAGCCGAGATACGTGCATTTAAAATTAGGGGCTGGAAACGACAGAAACTTTCTGAAACACCTAATAGAAAGAAGCAAACATTACCATGCACACAAACATGATCCCGCCATTTCACACCATTACTTTCAAACGCAAACGGTAGCCGTCAACTACGATAGGGCAGCCTTAGGATGTTTGTTAGGGAATAAAGCATGAATGAAGTGAGTGACTCATTCCTTCGACGTCTGGTTAAAATCCTGAATTTGTCCGAGAATTTACCCCAGGGGTTACCTAGGCTCCAATGTACGGACATCAACAGTGCGAAAATTGGCTACGGACACTGGCGCTCTCAACCTCCTCTATGAGACAAGCAATTTAGGAAATCTGAAGTGAATGAACAATAATTCATCTAATAAAAAAGCCAAAATACGGATGAGCCATGATGAAAGAACCACGCCAAATTCCTTCTATATGACAAGACAAGATCACGAAAAGCACCGAGAAGTTAAGTGGATCCCAATCACCAACCTACGTTTTTTTGTTATAGCGGAAACACAATTGAAATGCCGCTACTGCTGAGGCTGATTCGTGAATGTGCTCAGGGACCGTCATACCTACGTCCACAATAATGAATGCCTGGGCCTCACTGAGCGCATCTACCCTAATTTCCGGTAGATAAGCCCGGGCCGATTTCACGTAAAGACACCTCCGCTCTGCAGAGCAATTTTGAACTCCTTAGAAATTACCGTAAATTCACCTATAGAAGTAATCCGATGCTTGATTACGAAATTGACATTCATTTTTGGCGGTTGTGCCATCTGCCGGCACCTTGCCACGACCCCTGTTGTCACCAAAATCGGTGTGACCTTCTGTGTAGAGGTTATTTGGCGCCCTAATTACAAATATGACATTCATTTTGGCAATAAAGTTGTTCAACGCATATTTCTCGGTTGGAGAGCGCTGACGAGCAGAAAATAGGCGCGGAAAGCGCCAGTGCCGAGAATAAATGTCGTATTCGTGACCAGGACCAAGTAACCCCTATACGGAAGCTTACGTCAAATTGGTGGAAAACAGTGTCGTGACAAGGTGCCGCCAGATGGCGCCACCGCTAAAAACGAATGTCGTTTTCGTAATCAGTATATGGAATTGCTCCTAAGGGCATGTTGCGGTTGTTTTTAGTACTCAAGGCACTGCATTAGCGGAGGTGTTTATACGTGATATTGGTGCGGGCTTATCTACCGGAAATTAGGGTACGTTCAATTGCTTGCCATTAACCGTGTTGTATATAGGAGTTTGAGTAAAAATAATGAAATAAAAAAGAACCCGTCGTAAACTAGTTATCAAAACCGGCAATGACGCCAGCCAATCGAAACGGTAACTTCTTCACAACGGTAAGTTTGAATGTGGTCTACTCAGATACGATTGGCGTATCTATAAATGCACATGTGTATCATGAACTGTTTGTTCGAGCACTGTAGGATGAAACATTTCAGAAACACTTTCCCAATCACGCATCAGATTGCACTGTCATAAAGGAAATATTCTAGGGGTAGAAGTTTCAGGGTGATAGGAAGAAACAGAACAAATTTGGAACAAAAACACCTTACAACAAGCGCTCTTATTATTATCGAACCAATTATAAATAATAAAAAAATAATATTAGGACACAAGGTCGAGATAAACTCATTGGAGGTAGTTTCTAGAGAGGTTGTTGTAGAACAATAGACCGGGGCCATTTAGAAGTTCGACAATTCAATAAAAACACAAGATTTCAATGAATGAACGAACGAACAGTAAAGTTATGGATTTACGGGGTGGAACTGTTGATACCACGATGAACTCAAATCGATAATGGAATTTCATATAAGCTTTTTCACGAATTCCGTACTCTAGCGTAACCGGTGTCAGACACTCGACTATTATACAACGTAACGACTATGAAGATTGAGGAGAATGATAATGATGATGATGATGATGATGATGATGACGACAGATGATGAATGAAGAAAAAAGGATTAGATAGATGGATAGATACCAGATTGATGCGTATTCACTGTTGTGGTGTTAAAACGACTGTGCATGTGTGTGTCTGTGGATGTGTGCTATGATGAGGAAGACAATAACAGAGAAAATACATCCGTCAAAAGTACGTCAAAAACTACGAATCACAAAGAGGGATGAGGTATTAACATATGATTACGACATCGTGGAAGAGGAGGAAGAGAAGGAGGAAGAAGGAGAAGAAGAGGATGTAAAAAAATCCACAGAAAAATAAAAATGAATGAAGAAGAACGAAGAAAACGTAAAAACAAAACAAGCATTCTATACGGTAATTCACAAGAAATGTATAAAATGTGGTCGTGAAAGATGACACACCCTATGAGGGAACACAGCGTCTTCACCTCTACAAGAGGACCTACGCGTAATGATAACGACGTGAGGAGACACACGAATGCTGATGAAAACGATGACCGAGGAATCAACCGGGTGCGACGGGTATGAACGTGAATATTATAGGCTGATGAGTTAGTAGAAAATTCAAAGCAAAATGAAAAATAAACAAAAATCATGAAAACAAAAATGGATGACACATGAACTGGATGAACATCACTTATGTATAGGATCGGATGGATGTATGTCCTTTTGCCTGGGTAATCAAACACCTCAATCAAGGAATCCATCTGCCGCTTGCCACCGAGCCTATTCGACTTTGAAGAACTCACGAGGTAGTGGTTCTGCCTCGCTTGTGTTCACCGTACCCAAAAATAGCACACCGCATGATGCCGATATTTCGCGTAACATGCGAAGCGCTGCTGGAAGCTGTTCGTTCAACTTGTGAGCGTCATCACCATACAACGACTCCAGATATCTGCAACGATACAACCCTAACAAAACTTATGGATTGTCATCAAACTGGATATTACAAAAGTACCACGGCCATATGCACCTAGCTTCGCCCATATGGCCACATGGGCGGAGCTAGGTCATGTTGCGGCCGAGGTGTGACTCTTTACCTCAAGAATCATCAACTAGCTAACCTGTTAAGAAGTGCGCAGTATTGCTCGTGATGTCTGGCAATGATCCGACGGTCTTCGGGGTCGGTGATACAGTCCCTTGGTGAGAACAGCACAATCAACATGATCATGGAGATTACCAGCTCGTTTCTTCGAATATCCTCGTGGAATATTTTGAAGAATCTGAAACGTCAAAATCGCGTTCAGTTTATGAGACGATTCTGCAATCAAGGACGACTCACTGTAGAAATCGCATCTTCTGCTCGGTTCGAACGTCGGCGTTGAGCTGATCGAACATGTTGATAGACACTTCGCAACTTTCTTTCAGTGTTGGCGTCGTCCACGCACCCGAGCCGCTATCAAAACGACGGACACCACGAACCGTGAGCATCTCGATCATACTACCTTGAAATCAATAAACTTCAAGATAATGGCGAAGAATAAATGCTGCTAGAAGATAATGGCTACCCTTCAGAAGCGCAAATTTGCCATCTTGACTGAGTTCGTTGAAAGCCGGCAGTTTCTTTGCCATCTTCACGAATCGACGCATTGTCACGTCCATGATGTTCATTATGTCTGCAGGTGATTTTTCGTTCTGAAACCTCCAGCAATAAGACTATATTTCACACTGGAACTGTCATAACATGCCTTAAGGAACGATAGCTTCTGACGTCCTTGCTCCATTGGATCATTCATACCCTTGAATGCTTCTTGGATCTGCAATGACGAATTCATGATGGCTTTATCTCATTGACAAGAAGAATATGAAGTCTGAAACCAACTAAATCAAGTGCTTGCAATTCCGCAGAGTTCAGTTGATAGCTCAGCCTTTTATCTGAGGTGTTAGATGACGACGTTCCGGAAGTTTCTCCCTAAGCAGAAAAACTAGGCATATTGCTCATCAATAATAACAAATTCAAACTGAAAACATGCTTGAGAATTTCACAGTACAGAAAAAAATACGACAAAGAAAATTGGATCCAGAAGGACTACCTCATGTTGCTGACCACCGGAACTCGTTGATGTGGATGACGCTACACCAGCTGAAGCCGAGGCGGAGTGGTCTTCTGGACTATCGATCTTCAAGGCATCTTCGATCGTGTTGTGAAAGAACAAGTTCATCTTTTCCAAACTATCCTCGTAATTGCTGGTGGTAAATGACGCTTTTGGAAGATCGCCACTGGAAGCCGCTCCGAGGTCAGTGTAGGTGGGAATCCCTGAATCCATTGAATAGTTTTAGCTACACAATAATCAGTAAAAAATTATTTTGTGAACAAAAGTGGACCTGCTCGAATCTGTGAGACGTTATGGACCGGTAGCATTTGACTAGTGGGCGATTGGAATGTTCGCGGTTGAGGTGCCACCAAATCTGTTGGCGAATAAGCAGCCCTGAAAACTACAGAGATTTAGACTGTCTGCACCTAGCTGAACTCAAACTCACCTCTTTGCGAGCGGCTCATCTTCACCTGGACGAGTTGCTCGTTGTACAAGGCTGTGATATTCGTCCATCGAGATAATAACCTGTATTAAAATATACATCAGGTCACACGAATCTTAATTGCATTGCAAATTCTGACTTGACATAAGAACAGAGCAAGCGGCCGTAATAAGCTACGAGATTCAGATGGCGGAAGCGCAATCGATAGGTTTCGGCTCCTTCGAACTTTGGTGATAGCGTATTTCAGGACCGCTGCGGACTAAACCCATCAGCAGCACTTAAGCAGCTATTTATCACTAAATCAGCATCACCCACTATTTTTCACCATGTCACAACAGTTCAGTTATTCATTGCGATTAAATCCTACCGCATTCAGTTACATTTCCTTGCATCAGACCAGGTCAGATTGAACCCAAAGTCAAAGCTTTAATGCTCACTTGTCGAGACGGATCAACGACCTTACTACCAGGCATGTTTGGTTGAGGTAACTGCGACCGTAGACGTTGTTGCATCATCATGTTGGATTCGTACTGAAACTATTACAGTGCATGGAAATAAGAAAACTCCGATGTATTTTTCACCAGAAAACCAGAAAACGTGCGACTTACAGCATCCGGACTTCCTTGATTACCAGTCATTAGGCCAAGAGGACGTGATGGAGGAGAATCAGAAGCGCCCGAACCAGCAGGACTCATTAATGGGTACTGAAATAAGAAGCACTAATAAAGCGTGCAATAGAACTGCAACAGCTACTGAACATACCTGTCCAGCAGGACTGACCAAAGGCGGTATCCCACCGCGGCCACTGAGCGCTCCCAGCTGAAACTAAATGTCCACATTCGAGTAATTATTGGGAGCAATTGCTTCATTCATCACGCAAGCAAATTTTTACTACCTTTCACGCTACCCATGAACTTTTTGGATCGCATCGTTTTCTGAAGGACGCAGACGAGCAGTCTGCGAAAGCCATCATTTTGGCTATACCCCGAATTGCGCAATAACCGCCATGCCTATGGGCGTTGTTGAAGTAGGGCCCACCGTTCGCGGTTCCATTTCCAAAGATTTGACAACACCCTCCCCCTCTCCGTCCCCGACTACTACCGCCATCGTCATGGCTGCTCCGGTAATATTTGACTATGTGACTGGTCACCATTAACCACCCCCAACCCCGCCCACTTTTTCCTCTACAGCAGTCGAGCAGGAAGACGGGGAGGGGTTGGCGAGAGGCTTGGGGGGGGGGGTTAATTTGCCAAACAGAGCGACGAATCCTCTAAATATGAGCCTATTTTTTGAAATTTTTGAAAACTTTCTAAATAGTGTCAAAAACGACCCCCTCTACCGCAACCACATCCCCCTTCAACACCCAGAACTCGATCTCTTGTTCCAACCTTTTCATCTTCAACAACTCCAAATACAAGCCCCATCCAACAAAATCAAATGACCCCCTCGATGAGAACAGCGCAACGTACGGTCGACCCTGTTCGGAAGCATTGCGACCGTGTTAGTAGAAGAAGTATCATGACCGATTTCTGTAGCAAAACCAACCTGGGCATCGACCATTGGTGAAATTGACAATGGTGACGTCATTGCCTTTACAGCTGCATGTTGTCGCGCGAGTTCCTTGAATGATAAATAGAATTTTTCAATAACGACGAACTTGTCGACGAAACGTCAGTTGTGCAAATTTACCGGCAGTACTGTACGATACAAACCTGTTTTTGCCTCTGCTGATTGGCCATATTATTGAGGCGGGAATTCTTTCGCCGTCGTAATTGTTCCTCATTCAAAATCCACTCTTTTTTCATGCCCACCTCAAAAAAGCGCATTTAGTTAAGGAGACACTGCATACACGCTACCAGAGCTTTGATCGACTACACTCATGTACATGATGCAATGCTGAAACCGAAAGCGAAACTCACCGCGAAACATTTTCGCAGTCGGCACTTCTGGCAGAAGCGTCTGCTGACAGCGTTAATTTCGCAGTCTTCAGAATACGGACATTTGAATTCCTGAAAAACAGACACATTCGATTCAGCGATTCTCATCATGGATCGATGGGACCAACCTTTGGCCGCAGCGCGTTGCGACGGAAAAACGCCTTGCACGATTCACATGTGATGACGTTGAAATTGTAACCGGTGGCATGATCACCACATACTCGGCACGTCTTCTGTCGACGTCGTGCCTCCTGAAAAGAAGTAAATAACTCGACTGCGTGATCGATTGTAAGGGCATTCCTAGGTCATTCAACGTATAGTTCTGACAGCGGCATGACCTTTTGGAACCAGAGAACACTACGATGCAATTGAGAGGCAGACGAATCAGCTATGAACTATGAACAAAGGGCGAAGCCCTTTTTGTACATCTGGTTCCTGGTTTTCTGCTGACCAGAAATCGAAGGCGATTTTGCGAAAACACTCGCCGAACTTAAGATCAAGCGTTCTATGCCATTTTTTTTTCGAAATAAGTGTAACGGAAGAAGGAATGCGAGAAGCTTTCTCACCCCATCGCTGTTCGGATCGATGCCACCGACGTCAGGAGAGGCACACGCGGCGGCCATACCTTCCTCCATCTTTGCAGGAGTTAGTGTGGGGTTAAAACCTAAAACACAAGCACAGAATAAGTACCTTGGTTTCAAACGAGCACTGAGCTCTGAGATCTTAGACCAACCGTTCATCAATTGACCACCGAGGGATGGAGGTGAGTGTATTACCGGGTCGTCCGGCGTGCTCATCTGCGGCTGAAACACAATTGAATTTCAACAGAGAAATGCTACTAGAAACTTTTTTTCCACTGTCTCACACGTTGTTCCATTCACACACGCATTCATGCATACTGTCTCACTATTTGAGTCTACTGTGAGAACAACGCCACTCGGAATGCAACAGTGCGACTGCCATGAGCTCGACGACGAATAGAAGGCCGCATCGGCGTGTTCATTAGTCATTCATTGACCTTTTAATTTTTCGCTTCTTCCACAGAACATGACGATGTGTCTGATGATCAAAGCGCATTTATTGGCAGCATGGGAAAAGGCGAATCGACTGCTTCAGATTTCTTATCAAGGAGCATTTCCCAGATATCGAGAACCCATGGAATTAAACGGCAGTTCATTGGATCACCACGATATTAACGGGTTCATGATTTAAAGATGAAATAGCAGCCTTTGGTCAACGCGGATGAAGATCAGATGCTATTGCGCTTATGAGGTTTTCCAGGGGATGGAGCTAAGGACACGACTGTCAAGAACAACTGCAATGCAATGGATGCCCTAGTGGAGATTTGCTAGGAGGATCAGCAACAAATGTTCAGTTAGCCGTTTGAATTCTACATAATGGCTCTGCCAGCTCTGAGCAATGCACCCATTCACCCTTCATCATCTGGCGAAATACTATTGTCAGGGCGGTGTTCATATCATATGAATCAGTCGCATGAAAACCCGCCTGAGATTGACAATGAATCGTATATGAAACCATGAAAAATGCGTACATCAAATTTCTCGCCCATTTCGTTTATTCTTTGATGTTCTGTAACAACCGAAAGTATGTAGTCTACGCAACCTCACTATTGGCGAATCAGTAATGTAATCAACGGGAATGCTACTGTTTCATGTCGCTGTTCGATGAACTATAATTTTGCTGGTCATTTCCCTACATTCAGCAAATTTGGACCTCCGATCTAGGGAACATTCATGGACCGTGGTTTCTACTGGCCGGGGATCTATGAATATATTGAGAATGACGATTCGGTTAGACAATGAAGAAGGCGCAATACTTTCTGTGTATGATTTCTTTTATGACGAATCCAGAGGGAAACATGCATTTATTGACAAAATTTCACTCACAGCCTGTATTTCTGGTACTCACCTTGCCATAAAACTTATTTAGCATACTCCAGTTGAGGTAGTTCTGTGAGGAGAGAAGATTGTTAACGTCCACCATAATAGTTAAAGTGGCGACAGGGTGCTGTGCGATAGCGTTGGACGCGACGACGTCACGACCTCCGCTGGCTGGCTTGGTGCGAGAGCGAGAAGTACGAGCGAGCGAGCGACTCTTAGTGCTGATCGAGGTTCGTCGGCTTCCTCACCATGCCGACGCCTTCAAACTACCAAAATCGATGTCACGCCGTTCGCATTTCTACACACATACGTAAAAACAAGAATGAAGTGACGACAGTGGTAGAGAATGGCAAAATCACTTAGCAGAAAATATGCAAGATTTGCAACTCAGAACTCGGAATGACTCAGTTCAAGGACTGCTCGTCCAGAAGGAATCAGAAGGTGAAAGAGCAAGTCTTCAGAAGCAATTTGTGAAGGGAAGAGAGATAATTGGTAAGCAGACGCTATCTAAATAGCAAAATGTCATCCTAGAAATTTTATTAGATTCGATAATCTTACGTTGTCACACCTACCATGAGCGGGTCGTGTGCTCAACCAAGCGAATGCCCTCGCCATCGCATGATCAAGTACAGGCTGCTTGTTCTAACAAATACACATAACCTCATTAAAAACGGACAGGCATCGGCTAATACATCGCAACTGTAGGTAATTATAGAATAACATGAGCTTCATAAGCTCACAGCTTCAGGTTCCGTGGATTTCTATCTAAGACTACAAGTGGGCGTGTGGTGGTCGATATGAGTAGTGTAGCAGTAACAGTGTTGACATGGTACAGCGTTGAGCACTAATGAGCACATACGTCGAAAATACGTCTACATCAGTATTTGCGATGTGTTACCGTAGCGACAGTCATTTCGAGAGTTGGGACGCTCATCTGGTTTGGCACAACACAATAAACTGCGAATAACTGTTTGTATTCCCAGATATTTCCTATTTACGACTGATTTCGTTCATATTAGCTTCGCTCATATTGGTCTCGCCTCTCGCGCTGGCTGATGCTGTGATGGCACACAGAAGCAACTTACGGAGGGCACCATACCAAACGCTCGCCTCGAACTATCCCGAATAGCATCGGCGACGACGGGGAAGATTAGCGAAAACACGCGAAACGAACTCATTACACGCAGCGATAAACAAGTGGCTTAAAACGTATAATACCGCAAGGCAATGATGCTGTGCTGGATGGTTGGGGACGTGTAAGGCATCGGATTACGTCACAGAGTTTTTCTAGAGAATTTCGCATCACATGAGCCGAGAATGAACAAGGAAGTCTAATACAAGCTTTCTAGCTGGCTGCTGGTTGAGGAGCATGTTGCGAATCCCAGTTTTTAGCGTTCGTCGCTCGCGCGGTGCGTTCACGAACGACCTTCATTCAGCCGAAAAACCTTGAACAACGCCATATAGTTAACGTGTCCTATTAAAATACGAGCATCGCGCAGTCGAACGAACGCATAGATAGGTCGAAACCGGCGAGCGAGGTCAGCCGTCGTCGAAACGAACGAAAAATAAGCGCGGAGTCAATACAATGTCACTCATGAGGGGAAAGGACTGTTCAACTCTTCATGGCTCTAAATCCCTGCAAGTCATTAACACCAGTGGCGGCTTATCGGCATTAGCACTAGATCGAATGATTGCATTCATTGACTACCTTTCCATTCTAACGCTCTTACGTTATCGCCTCCAGCGCAAGCTGCAACTTCACGACAAGAAATAGTCGCGAGTAGGAACGAGTCCTTTCGTTATCAGAAGCGGTCCACCACTGCAGACTTCGCGATCACTCACCTCTCCGTCTCCTCTGCTCCAGATGGCTCGGAGAAGGAGAAGGAGCGAGCTGGATGGCACGCGAGGCTGAAGCAAAGGGGGAACGTCGCAGCCCCAAAGTCCGGGCGGCCAGCCAGCAGGCAGCCGAGCGCTCGAGCCGCGGCTCCGCAACCAGCGCGATGCCAGAGGTCTATGAAACTACCGTATACTTCTAGGATGTTATTCCGCGTTCAGACAAAAACAACTCGCCATGGAGCAACGGGAGGACGAAAACACACGCACGCACCACACACAACCACCCCACATGCTCGACACAATAACAGCACAGCTGAAAGGATCGGAGAACGGCTGAGGAGAGAGCATGAACGATGAGGAGGCATCGCGCGAACATGAGATTGAAAACACCGGATGAAATTAACAAACGCATGTTTTCGCATTCGGTTGTCCGCCGCGTGTTTCGCAGAAAGTTCGGGAGGTTGCAGTTCGCTTTCGACAACACATCGTCGCAAGGATACATAGATGTATGAACGTTCACATACTTAGGCATCCACACGTACTTCCCCAGTGGAAGCAGTCGAACGTCGATTTTCAGTCACCGACCTCGATGGGATGAAAAAAAAAGTAACCCGTCAGCGGTTGCACATGTGTATGCAACCTATCGATAGAGACAGATAGCTGGGTGGGCAGATAGACAGACGGACAGACAGCTGGACGGGACTGATCGGCGAATAGGCAAGCGGGGACACGGTAGCCTCATATACATGACTCGCTCTTTGACTCGATATTAAGCCTCATGACATCCGTGGCAAGCGAGCGAGAGATACAATAGTGGACATGTTCTTCTTACTGGAATAATCGCACATTTAGACATCCCACTCCGTGTCGCCTCATTTCTTTGAAGCGAATCTGTTTACTGTCATTCATATATCTGCCGAACGTAATTAGACACAAAAAAGAGCGGTCAACGAAAACAACAGGAGAGAGAACGGGCAAGGCACCGAAGCGGCGCCGTCCGTTCAATACGCAGAAAAAACGCGATGTAGTGGTGGGGACATATTCTAGCGAGGCAAAAACGAGGCACGCCCAGTTTTCAGGGCGGCTAGGGCAGACACACAGACACACAGACAGACACACGCACACACACCACACATACACACATGAACTACGTCCGTGCCACGGAGACGACGACGGAGGTCCTAAAGGAGACGACTGGGAAGGAACTCACCACAAACTTCTTCGCTGCAATGCCATTGAGCTTGTGTTTCCGATGTGAGTTCTAGACAGGGGCTGCATGACACGTGAACGCTGGCCACAAGCAAAGAGAACGGGGAGGGACGAGGCACAATGTTTTTGTCATTGGGAGATACTGGCCTCCGACCGAATACACAACGAAAAAAAGGGAAGATGACAAGAAATCCCTCGTACAGCAAAACAAAAAAGTCTGAAATGTTCAACGAGTCGAAAGCAGCCGTCGACAAGTATTCCACCATAGATGAACGCTTGTTAAGCTTTGTTGCTATAGTCACTACGTTTATCTTCAAGGTGCAGGGATAATGGCATGCACCAACGTACGTGACAGGACGAAGCTTAAAAACGACCTTGTACTACGGCTAAAAAAGTGCTCAGACCGAAAGAAGCAAGACAAAGATCGCGCACGAATCAGTGGATCCATCTAGTGTGGTGGCTACGATTAGTTGAGAAAAACTTCGCTTTACTGTAGTAACACCGTGTTTCTAAAACTGATCGTAATACGGTGAAGTGGCCACCAAATTCTGTTGCCATTCTTAATACAATTAGACAATGGAATCTACTATAAGGTAAAGCGTTGCTGGAATCCCCATAGCTCCTCTACCTTTGACCAAGGCTCATGTGTGGACATGTGGTACACTTACGCTCAAACACGACAGTGTTGCATTTCGTTTCTATCAAGTTGCGCGCCACAGACACGCGGTTTGATTGGTCTCGAGCGGAAGGCGGTGCCACGCCCACTGAGGGACTACGGTAGTGCTCATGTTATTCTCGAGATTACATACACGCGGACGAAAACAGGATTGATGACGGCAACCACGCAGGGGACAAGCTCTCAAAACAACCTCAGACAGAGAAAGAGCGATAATGCGAAGGGATAATCAGACTTTGTCATAAGTTGGCAAAT